ACAGGTGAAAGGGGATTTCCCATTGCCATACCAAACCTCTGAGTATAGAATTCATCATTAAATACATATTTTGCATCAGCAACACAAAGTTTAATAAGTTTAATAATAATAGGAACTGGCAATGGTAATTGTCAATTGACAAGTTCCTCAGATAAAAAAGTTAGTAAATCATCAACTGGAACTTTTGTAAACAAAGAAGTAACATCAAAACTAATCGTACTGAAATAATTTAGGTCAGTCATGGTGCTTAATTTATCCACTAAATCGTAGACAGCAAGCAACGTGGGTTTCGAATCCTACTGGCTGTGACATCTCTTTGTATATACTTTCACTTCCTTCTAAGATATGCATCGAATATATACTTCTGAATGAATGAATTTGTTTATAGGACCTCATTTGCTACATGTTTCTAAAGCAGACTTTTTATCACAAACCTTGGTATAAAGTGAGATATGGAATAAAACATCAATACATGCTACTAAAAGAATATGGATCAGCTTAGAAATTAAATATAAACACTTTCCCACATTACGTAACATAGTTTCTGTACATAACAAACGATATATCATAATCCTAGAAAGAAACATATTACTTCATCATTTATTCCAAAGTAATTTACCATTAGCAGGTATGAGGTCGGGGTTGTTGTCATCCACGTCCCGCGTGCCAGCCAAGGACATCTGTAAAGGCAGTGTAATGGTCTTGCTCCTTGAACTTTCGTTTTTCCTGAAGCTGACTACCACTACTGCCACCAGCGCCACCAGCACCAGCGAACCAACCACCCCCACCATCACTGCGAGTATTGGAGTGATAGGTTCCAGTTCTTCAGGCGGTGGGCGAACCTGGGCAGTGCGTCTCTCAGCCGCATCTCTGACCGTGTAGCCGGTAAGATACTGCTTCTCGCTTGGACCCCTCTCGTTGGCAGCATAAACATGGACTACATAGGAGGTTCCAGGTTCAAGGCCTCGTAGAGAAAAATCCGGAGCGGTGTTTTCTGTTATGTTGAGAAGTAAACGTTTACTCTCGGCCTCATAAACCTCAATAATGAAATTCTGTACAAGTCCTCCATCATATCCAGGGACACAGCGCACCTTCATGGTCTCCGTCGTCAGGTTAGTAAGGTTGCAGTTCTCTGGTGGGTTGGGTCTGCCTGCAGCAACAACCTTGTATGCACAGGGTATCTTCTGCCTGCCGAGCGCGTTGTTGCCCCAACAGAGTAACGTACCGTAGTCCAGCTCTGTACGAGCCACGTAAGACAGGGAAGACTGGAGTCCCTGTGTGGCCACGTGATTCTCTGCGATGTCGACTACGTCACCACTGCTGTTAAATCTCCAGAAGAAATGAATAACAGGAGGCACAGCATCCAGACGGCATGTGATTGACACTTCTTCGTTTCTGGCGGCACCGTAGACTTGGATCTGTCCAGAGGCGCACACAGGAGCATCTAGGGGAAGAAAGTTACTCAGGAAAAGTTGATCATGTAACCGTTGACAATAAAATATAATTATTATCGGTCAATTTGATGGGAAGTCACTAAGTGGAGAAAATAATAGGAAAGAGGAACAATATTTCACTTTGTAAAGAGAAATGTTTTACCGTAAAACGCTATTGAATATTTTGTCTTCTAATTATTATTTTCAAGCAATAATTTATTATAAATTTTCCTTCATTTAAGGAAGTGCAGCTTACATGCAAGTATACGAGCTGATAAAACTACACTTATAAAGCTGAAATAAGAAATAACATCATTACTGAATGAACCAGAGCAGTATGATCCTTAGGGATATAGCGTTTAGGTGTAATAATAATAATAATAATATTATATATATTATATATATATATATATATATATATATATATAATATATATATATATATATATATATATATATATAAATATATTATATATATATTATATATATATATATATATATATATATATATATATATATATATATATATATATATATATATATATATATATATATATATATATATATATATGCAACACATCATCACCCCTCCTACAGAGTAATTTCAACCTCCAGGACTCAAGTCTCCAAATTCATCCATAAATGTTAATTTGCTTATACTCCAATAGAGCGTTGTTACAAAACTTGTCTTCTTAACCTTCTCCAATGGTATGGTAGTGTTAAGGTAACATTCTTGTTGAACATATGGACTGTTTACGGTTTTGTAACAATAACTTTTAATAAGAATTCAGGATTACGAAACAAATAACTAAAACTTAAAATCTCTACTAGTAGAGTTTTAGCTTAATGTATGATATAATGTTAGAATTAACATAAAATAAGGAGTTTAGCTCTTACATTTCTCTTGGTACGTACCAGTGTACATTGATATGAATAAATGGGCCTCTTGAGGCCGAGCTTTGTACTAAGTTCACCAATAATATGCACCTATAATGGTTATTAAGACTTAACCACAAAGTAACTTATAATGGTTATAAAGAATTAGGTGAATTATCAGCTCAGAGTACACCAGAACTCGTAAGTGACGGACTTAAGTCTCATTCCCATCCAGCATGACTTAGAATAGCATAGACTACAAATTAACCCACAAGGCCAACAAGGCTTGTTCAGTCAACTGAAAGACTAATTCGCTAGAGTATAAATAACTCGAAAATGACAAGCTTAAGAAAGGAAGTCAATCATGAAAGAAAAACGACCACAAGAGAGAACTTGACATGTCTCTTATGAGAGGTTAATGAATAACTGAGTGAGGTACACTCCCTTGGCTATGCAAGCCCGGAATAGAGGTGGGAGTGCTAGTCAGAGTGAGTGTGAAGGACCTACTCTCAGCGAGTGCTGTAAAGCTACTCAGAGCAAGGGTGGTGAACCTACTGACGGTACCACTGAGTGGTAAGCCGACGTCAGGTTGATCACGTGACTGAGGGAGATCTCAGTACGTGAACTGCTAACCTCCACTGTAATTAGTGGTTTCCCACTACATGAAAATAAGAATATTAAAACCTAACAAAATATAATATAATACGATATTAGCATTATTATTAGCCTTAACATGTATATTATAAAATAAGGGGGCATATCCTATTATAAAATAAAACAGGTATGGCCATACTCTAACACACGTCAATTCATAAAAATTATTTGCCTCCATTCGCTCCTATCTGACACTCTCACGCACGGTTGCTGGAAGTCCAAGACCCTCGTACACAAAACCTCCATTACCTGCAACCTTTCCTATAACGACCCCTACACTGCCTTCCTTCCACTAAAGATTTATATAATTGATCTTGTATTTTTGCCTACGTGAGTCATGCTGTTTATGTGCATGATTACGAATTAGATTACTATCTACAAATATGCAGAAACCTTCCTTCAGTCAGGTTTACATCACTAAGAGGGAAAATAATTAGAATCCAATATAGCAAATATAATTAGAAGCTTCCTTCAAGAGTATGGCTTGATTAAAACGTTTCAGTGCAAATTCTCAAGAAACCGTTCATGCATAACAAATTTAGCAACCCTTAGAAAAGTATTGAAGGCAGTGAACCATGATGAATAATGGAATATTTTCTTCCTATATGTCAATAAGACTTTACTGAGTTAACACGAAAGTTAGTAAAGATGCACATGTAGTTCAATGTTGATTAATGTAAAGTTCTTAACCTCTGCAATGTAAATAACCCAGGTACTTATAAAGGAAATAACATTCAACATGATCATTTAGGCGTCCATAATATGTCTCCCTGGATTTATATCAAGATGTGAATGTAACGAAAAGTTGTAGGTTATGCTGCTGCTCTAAACATCTAACATGAGCGCACCTAGATAAGGCAGTTTAGGTCTGGTCTCCCTACTAGTGCACTGGAGAGCACAAGAGTTAAGGAGAAAATCAACCCTGCACATAAATCGCTCAGATAAAACCTTCTCGGGATAAATTCCATCTAGCACATAATTCAGCTAAAACACGCATGGGAAGAAACTCACCTACGACTAAGAACACTAGGAAAACACCTACCTAAAAATAATTAATTTTCTAACTTAACTTAACCTCACCTAATCAAACGTAACCTACTCTAACCCAGCATAACTGAAGCTAACCTCGCCTAACCTAATAAAATTATGCCTTGAATAAACTAATCAATCCAGCTCTAGCCTAATGTAACCTAACTTAGCCCAACTGAACATAACCTTGCTTAATTTTATGTAATTGAAGCTAACCAAAGCTGACATGACCTAACTTAACCAAACCTAACATAAATGACCCTAACTTTGCGCAATTTTACCTAATTTAATATTTAAAGATGGATTAGATGGGCATTAGTACGTCCTTAGATACCAGAAACAATATATGGTTTTTAGACAAGCTTTGATAAGGAATAAGAGGCTAGCATGCGGAGGACTGTACATTTACAAACATAAATCAGTGAGTATTAATTCATGAACACACACAGAAACACACACACACACACACACACACACACACACACACACACACGACACTGTAGGACAGGAGGGGCAAGGAAGACATGATAACAACATATAAAATACTGCGAGAAATTGATAATGTGGGCAAAGAAAGGATGTTCCAGAGATGGGTCACAGAAACAAGGGGTTACAGTTGGAAGTTGAAGACTCAGATGAATCAAAGGGATGTTAGGAAGTATTTCTACAGTCATAGAGTTGTCAGGAAGTGGAATAGCCTAGAAAGTGACTTAGTGGAGGCGGGAACCATACATAGTTTTAAGACGAGGTTTGATAAAGCTCATGGAGCGGGGAGAGAGAGAACTCAGTAGCAATCAGTGAAACACACACGAGAAACAGGTTTCTTGTTACACTTACACTGAACTTTAAGAATGACAGCATTGCTCTGACCGTCTCCCTCAATGTTGGAGGCAACACAGGTGTAGAGACCAGTTTGTTGGCGCCTCACTCGCTGGATCACCAGAGACTGGTTGCTGACGATCACTCCAGCTGACACATTGTGTTGCACTTGCACTCCCTGCAACACCATCCACACCCAGGAGAGAAAAAGGAAGAGATAATGACATAAAACTATCTTTATTAATATATCGAAAAAAATATATCGTACTTAAAACGTCTTTTATTATAAATTAATGAAAGAAAAGTACAGCATATAAAAGTAAACAGCTTTCTATTGACTTACGTGATGCACTAAACAGTATGAGCCATTCAACACAAGTAGTGTTAAGCTGATATTACATCCACTAATAAAATTTGTGAAGTAGCGAATCCACTGTGTTTCTGAGTGCTGTGTTGGAAGGTCGATTACCCGATTTCTAAACCGTAAGTGTTATTTATTACAATGATGGATGGAAAAATGATCCTTCGTCATTAGTAAAAGTGGACTCGATCCAGTAAAGGGTAAATTACGGACACCAGTGGACTGAATGACTCACTCCAGGCAGACCCAACGCGCAGCCAGTCTCTCTCCCACATAGATATGTTTGGGACTTGATAAAACCCACTCTATGGGCGAAACGTTGGCATTAAAGATGGCACTTTTTGTCTGCATTTATGTGCGCTTTTCACTGATTTCTTACGCTGATTCCATCCCTCCTCCTATTATCTAACCCAAATTCCCATAGCCTAACCCACACTTTCACAGCCTAACTCACTTTCACAGCCTAACTCACTTTCACAGCCTAACTCACTTTCACAGCCTAACTCACTTTCACAGCCTAACTCACTTTCACAGCCTAACTCACTTTTACAGCCTAACTCACTTTCATAGCCTAACTCACTTTCACAGCCTAACTCACTTTCACAGCCTAACTCACTTTCACAGCCTAACTCACTTTCACAGCCTAACTCACTTTCAAGCCTAACTCACTTTCATAGCCTAACTCACTTTCACAGCCTAACTCACTTTCATAGCCTAACTCACTTTCATAGCCTAACTCACTTTCACAGCCTAACTCACTTTCACAGCCTAACTCACTTTCACAGCCTAACTCACTTTCATAGCCAACTCACTTTCACAGCCTAACTCACTTTCACAGCCTAACTCACTTTCACAGCCTAACTCACTTTCATAGCCTAACTCACTTTCACAGCCTAACTCACTTTCACAGCCTAACTCACTTTCACAGCCTAACTCACATTCCCTCACTAACATCTTTCTTTTCTTCAAATACTCTTTAAATTATTTTAATTTTAAATTATCATTAATTCTTCACTCACACCGTCTATGTTATACTGCATTTTTTTCATTATATATTATTTTAAATATATCATTGCTCTTTATTCCGATACTGTATCACAGATCTCTTGTTAAACGTTACTTTCTTGGTTTCTTATAGGAAAATATCCTATCTAATTGTTTTCCAGACTTTATTACTTATTATTATTATTATTATTATTTATATTATTATTTATTATTATTATTTTTAAATTAAATTTTATTATTATTATAATATTATTATTATTATTATTATTTTTATTATTATTATTATATATTATTATTATTATTATCATCATCATATTATTATTATTATTATTATATTATTATTATTATTTATTATTATTATTATTATTATTATTATTATTATTATTATTATTATTATTATTATTATTATTATTATTATTATTATTATATCATTATTATTATTTTTTATTATTATTATTATTATTATTATTATTATTATTATTATTATTATTATTACTATTTTTATTATATTATTGAAAGGATATACTTTAAGAGGCAATATAAGTATAAGATGTATAAGACCAGTGAGGAGATCTTTCTCATTCCCAAAACTCCGTAACTGACAACAGTAAGGCAGTAACCACCTATGATATGATCAACTCTTATTCAAAGATGAATATGAGAAACCAAGCTTGATCTTTCAACGTTCAATTGCAACCTTTTTAAGCCCCACACATCTCTATGTTTGGAAAGCTGACTGTCACAGATTAATATATATAGGTTATATGCAATAACAGCAGCAAATCGTCTGCTAACCAAGCAACGAAATAGCAACTCCTAAGAGGCCACTTCCCAGATCTGAGAACCATCTACATCACAAAATATTAGTTTAAAATCTGGTCAGCGCCTTCAGCGATATAACGAAAGAAAAGCAAGCAAGTAGACAAGAGAGTTGGCAACTGTACACATCGGTTGTTGTTCTTGATTCGCAGGTTCTCCCTGCCCGGGTCATTACCAGATGGTGGGCCGGCCTTGGCTCACTGTCTTGGGAGTGTCTTGAGACCTATGTCTCACGTGGGAGGAGGTACAAGAACCTCTTCATCCTGGGGACCAACTGTTCTCAGGCCTAGCACCATTCCCCGCCCTTACGAGGCTCGCACGGAGAAACTGGGCTTCTAGTATGCCATCTGCCCTACCCTAAGAGGGCTCGTGGGAGCGGTGAGGTCTTCGGCACCCTGGTGAAGAACAAGTTAGCAGCTCTACAACATGGTGATCCACATGTTGGCAGCTCTGCACACTGATGATTAAAATGTTGGCAGCTCTACAACCCAGGTGATCCACATGTTGGCAGCTCTACACCCTGGTGATCCACATGTTGGCAGCTCTGCACCCTGGTGAACCACAAGTTGGCAGCTCTACACCCTGGTGAACCACAAGTGGTCAGCTCTACACCCTGCTGAACCACAAGTTGGCAGCTCCACACCCTGGTGAACCACAAGTTGGCAGCTCTACACCCTGGTGAACCACAAGTTGGCATCTCTACACCTTGGTGAACCACAAGTTGGCAGCTCTACACCCTGGTGAACGACAAGTTGGCAGCTCCACACCCTGGTGAACCACAAGTTGGCAGCTCTACACCCTGGTGAACGACAAGTTGGCAACTCTACACAATGGTAAACCAAAAGTTCGAAGCTCTACACCCTGGTGAACCACAAGTTGGCAGCTCTACACCCTGGTGAACAACAAGTTGGCAGCTCTACACAGTGGTAAACCACTAGTTGGCAGCAATACACCATGGTGAGCCACAAGTTGGCAGCTCGACACCCTGGTGAACCATACGTTGGCACCTCTACACCCTAGTGAACCACAAGTTGGCAGCTCTACACCCTGGTGAACAACAAGTTGGCAGCTCTACACAGTGGCAAACCACTAGTTGGCAGCAATACACCATGGTGAGCCACAAGTTGGCAGCTCTACACCCTGGTGAACCATACGTTGGCACCTCTACACCCTAGTGAACCACAAGTTGTCAGCTCCACCACCTGGTGAACCACAAGTTGGCATCTCTACACCCTAGTGAAACACATGTTGGTGGCTCTACGCCCTGTTGAACCACAGGTTGGCAGCTCTACACCCTGGAGAACCACAAGTTGGCAGCTCCACAAACTGGTGAACCACAAGTTGGCAGCTCCACGCCCTGGTGAACCACAAGTTCGCAGCTCCAAACCCTGGTGAACCACAAGTTGGCAGCTCCACACCCTGGTGAACCACAAGTTGGCACCTCAACACCTTGGTGAAAGATAAATTGGCAGCTTTACACCGTGGTGAACCACAGGTTGGCAGCTCTACACCCTGGTGAACCACAAGTTGGCAGCTCTACATCCTGGTGAACCACTAGTTGGCAACTTTACACAATAGTGAAACACAGGCTGTCAGCTCTACACCCTGGTGAACCACAAGTAGGCAGCTCTACACCCTGGTGAACCACAAAATGAAAGCTCCACACCCTGGTGAATCACAAGTTGGCAGGTCTACACATTGGTGAACCACACGTTGGCAGCTCTACACAATGGTGAACCTCAAATTGGCAGCTCTACACCCTGGTGAACCACAAGTTGGCAGCTCTACACCCTGGTGAACCACAAATTGGCAGCTATACACACTGGTGAAACACAAATTGCCAGCTCTACACCCTGGTGAACCACACGTTGGCAGCTCTACACCCTGATGAACCACAAGTTGGCACCTCTACACCCTGGTGAACTGCAAGTTGGCACCTCTACACCCTGGTGAACTGCAAGTTGGCACCTCTACACACTGGTGAACTGCAAGTTGGCTCCTCTACACCATGGTGAACTGCAAGTTGGCACCTCTACACCCTGGTGAACTACAATTTGGCAACTCAACATCCTTGTAAACTATAAGTTATTAAGTCTACACACTGGTGAACTACAAGTTAGCAGCTTAACACCCTGGTGAACTACAAGTTGGCAGCTTCACAACCCCGTGAACCACAAGTTGGCAACTCCACACCCTGGTGAACCACTAGTTGGCAGCTCTTCGCCCTGGTGAACCACAAGCTGGCACCTCTACACCGTATTGAACCACACGTTGGTGGCTCTACACCCTGTTGAACCACAGGTTGGCAGCTCTACACCCTGGAGAACCACAAGTTGGCAGCTCCACACCCAGGTGAACCACAAGTTGCAGCTCCACACCCCTGTGAACCAAAAGTTGGCAGCTATACACACTGGTGAACCACAAGTTGGCAGCTCTACACCCTTCTGAACCACAAGTTGGCAGCTCCACACCCTGGTGAACCACAAGTTGGCAGTTCTACACCCTGGTGAACAATTAATTGGCAGCTCTACATCCTGGTGAACCACAAGTTTTAAGCTCTACACCCTGGTGAAGCACAAGTTGCCAGTTCTACACCCTGGTGAACCACAAGTTGGCAGCTTTACACCCTGGTGAACCACAAGTTGGCAGTTCCACACTCTGGACACAAACAAGTTGGCAGCTCTACACTCTGGTGAACCACAAGTTGGCAGCACTACACAGTGGTAAATCAAAAGTTGGCAGCTCTATACCATGGTGAACCACAAGCTGGTAGCTCTACACCCTGGTGAACCACAAGTTGGCATCTCTACACCCTGGTGAACCACAAGTTGGCACGTCTACACCCTAGTGAAACACATGTTGGTGGCTCTACACCATGTTGAACCACAGGTTGGCAGCTCTACACCCTGGAGAACCACAAGTTGGCAGCTCCAAAAACTGGTGAACCACAAGCCGCAGCTCTACACCCTGGTGAACCAAAAGTTGGCAGCTCCACACACTGGTGA